CAACAATACCTGATTTTGGAAAGACACATTCAAATAATATCAGTCTTAAAGTAAAAGTACTCATTTGAGTGAGATTTGGACAGTTTATGTCGTTTTGCTTATCCCATAGCTATAAATTTTACAAATAACCACGAGTTATAATGATTTTCAAAAGGCTTGTGAACAGACTTCCCAATTTTAGAACCCAGATTAGGCACCAGTCAGGAGCACATCACAGTATGTTAAGGCCACAAAAGGTGGGAGTTCTCATAAAGGGAAAGGGTAAGAATGGAAGATAATTATGGGGAACCTCAGGAATTGTCAAACAAAAAAAGAAATGTCCTGGTGGGGGACTCCAGGAATCGTCAAATGAAAAAACAAATGTCCTGGTGGAGGACTTCAAGAATTGTCAAACGAAAAAAGAAGCCTTCAATCCAGGCGTTAAAAGATGAGTTCGATTCCAGCAGGTAGAAGAGAGATAATAAATTCCATCTAAATATTCTGTGGCTGGCTTGGTGAAAACAGTTCCTATCACTGGCTGATCATAGATAGGTGGTGTAAATTATCTCACTCAATACACTACAATTCTGAGGTTGGCATTATAATCTCTACTATATAGATTTAAAAAATTAAAGACTACAGAGAAAGTAATGTCTTGCTTGGTATCTCCACATCAGCACACAGGAAAGCCAAGACTCAGACACAGATCTAAACTGTTCTCCTTCCTGAGTCACATGGCCATTTAGCTATCTTTGGGCATCCTGGTGATGTTCTCCATGTAACCAGCACATTAGCCCTAATTGCAACTGTGAGACCCGCATGTGTGAAAAAGAAATTCATTATCTGAAGGAAACTGAACCTCAGAACATCCAAAACACAGTTTGAAACCCACTATATGAAATTTTACTTTACTATATGAGTGTATTATCCTGCCTGAAAGCCTGATTCATGCTCATTTAATTTTATGCCTGATTCATTCCAAACTTGAACCACAATGGATCAGGCAAGGTCACTCTCACTCAAGGTAGAGAAACAGCACAACTTTAATCAATATTAGAATCCATCTAATTATCCTGTAGAATTCAGAAAACTAGTGAGTGAAGATGGGGTCCTTTATTTGTGGAAGTAAGTATCAGAGTCAGTTAGAAACACTATCATAAAACACAGAGGTAACTCAAAGAGATATGTAAAAAATATGGAATAAAACAACCACCAATCTGTGTTTACAAATGAAGTCTGGAAGACATTGGAAGCTCTAGAAATGATCAGAGATCTGAGAACGTGGCGGTAACAGCTGGCCTGGATCTTGTTTTCTGAGGGCTAAAGAGCCAAAAACCTCCACCAGCTTCTTCATCAAAAGCTCGGTTTTGAGTTTCTGGGTTTTGTTTTATTGGCATGAGGTCCTTTTATATCTGCCAGGAGGTTTCTCTGCTAGTCAAATGTGAGCCTTCCAGCTGTAAAGACTGAGGAGAAGGGAGTCAAATACCCAGTTTTCCTCCTGAGAAAAGCCCCTAAAACCCCAATAACATACCTTGTAGATGACAATGTTGTTTGGTTGACATTAGAAAAAGACCCCAAATACCAACATCATTTTCTGGAATAAAAGCTTAGAATCCCAATCAGCAATCAACCCAGTTATTTTCTATTTTTGTGACTTCACTCACATCTCTTTCCATTCACTAGCAAAATAAAACACAGATAGGTGGGTATTACTTGTGATTATTTTTTTCTTTTCTTCCTGTATATTTTAACAATGTTCTATTTACCAACTTTATAGACAACAAAACGCACTGATTGAAAGAGCAGAGTTCAGTGAGTTTTGACAAATATACAAATCTGGGTAACCATCACCGTGGTCAAGATATTAAGCTTTTCCAAGACCACCCAAAGTTCCCTGTGATCTTCTAGAGTCAATTCCCTCTGCCACCACTACCAGCCTCAGCACCACTGGCCTCATTTCTGTCACTGTAAATAAATGCTGCTGGTCCTAGACCTTCATGTAGAAACTTGATCATACAAATGAAAACTCTTGTCATACCGAACTGAAACAGAGCTGCAATGAACATGCAGAAACAAACTGAAATAACAAGCTTCCACTAGCTTCTACATCCTCTCCCATATATCTCTGATGACATTTTCAGGATTTACTACCCTAGTCCATTTGAGCTGTCATTTCTTGACAAGGTTACTATTCTTTTCTAAAAAGAATAAAAGTATCATGCTTTGGCCATTTCTTTGGATGTCACTCCCATGTACCTGTAAAGTTAATAAAATTTCATTTTTTGTCTTGCTAATAAGCTGTTTTATACATTGAGTTCTTATATTCAGCTAAAAAGCCCACATATGAACTAAGGAATAGTAGATGGAATCTGTCTCTTCCCTGTACCCACAACTGAAAAGGGCATATGGATTTTCTATAGGAAAGCAAAGCACAGTATGACCCCCTTGAGTTTCCGCCACACTCTTAGAGGCAGCACAGAACACATTCAAGGAGTTGCTGAAAGGGAAATCAGAGGTAGTAAGATCAGAGCATAGGGTGTCAAAGTGGCTGAGCAAGTGAGCATGATCTGTCAATCATGGAGACCCAGGACACATGGGCAGTACACCTTCCAAGCCCTGTACCTGGCACCAATCAGAGAGTGCTATCTTCAGTTCTGACACAGATTGAGCAGGTTTTTGACAGGACAGTCTACATCTGACGTCAGAATTAGGGCTACCAATAATGAGGCCCATTAACCGGTGGCTGCTATGAGTCTTTTTTAAATAGCCCACTTTACATCCTTCATAGTGTATTTTTTCTCCTTCTTTAATTGGTTCACACTCCCCCTACACAGCATACTCCTTTTTATACCTTTAATAAATGTAAAATCTTACTACTTTGTTTCTTGTTCAATTCTTTGCTCAGGACAACAAGAATCTGAAAAGGATCGTTGGAAAGAGCAGAGTGCCCCCAGAACCCCACTAACAGAGGCAGCTGATCAGGCTGTGGGCAGGCTGGCAAGGCCTACTCCTCTGTAGCCTCCACATCTGAGAGACTGAATTAGGAAATCATTCCCTTGAATGGGCCCTGGCTCATGAGCCTCAGCCTCTTCCTTGTGACTAATGACACAATGGCCTAACTTCCTCAATTTCCTATTCATGGAAAGAAAGGCCCATGTAATATTTTTTATGTTCCAAACTTCACTTTTGGAAATTAACAAATAATACACTAAGTGAACACCTAACAAAAGACCTAAAACAGAAATCCATCTGACAGACATATCTGTTTGTCGGTGGCATCCATCACAACATGGTGTCCACAGCACCATTGAAGCTGGCACTGGTCTCTACGGCTGAGGTAAGCAACACAAGCTCTCACAGCATTATGAAGACAATGTCAAGTGCAAATTTGGGCTAAAATTACAAAACAAACCAAGATTCACTACCTTAGCTGGCAATTTGAGAAACGATCTAATCTATCCAAGAGAGCCCCTGTGTGGCCTCAAGGAGATTCCTGGCAGATTTCCAACTAAGAGAAGTGTGACTGGCCCAGGATTCCTGTTACTGGCTCTGGAACTCCCACTGCACCACCTCCAAGGCTGCTCCACCACAAGGGCCACAACTGGAGCCAAGGGGAGATAGGAAGGCAGGTCCCCAAGCCAACTTCCTGGAGGACTTCCTGCTGCCTCTGACTACACGGCAGAACAGTACGCTTCTACCAATCCCCTTGCTTTTTATTTGGAATGAAACTTTAATCACTATGTGACAGTTCTCCCAGCCTTTCCTCAGTTCTTCCCTATTTCTTTCCATACAGGTACTTTCCCTAAAAACAATCACACATTTTAGTGCTGTCTTGGCATCCACATCTCACCCGTCTGGACAAACATTCATTCATATCTTCATTTGCTCACTCATTCTGCCATGAAACATTTCCTGCCTGCTTATAAAGTTCTCAGAACTTTATTCTAGGCACTGTGGAGACCTTTAAAGAAGAGTGAGAAGACCCCTATGTCCATAAGCTCCCTCCAAAGCGCTGCTGCTTTTCACCTCTTTTGTTGCGCTGAGCACTGAACTAAGATCTCTTCTGAAATGTTTTGTCCCACTTGCTCTTTACAACGATCCTTAGAGGAGCTATTACAATTATTGCTGTTGTTGTTGTTGTTGTTTCATGGATCAGAAAACTAGGACCTGGAGAGTTCCCACGGGCTTCCCTACAGGCCCAGCTTCTTTAACCCAGAATTCATGTTTTACCATTAAATGATGAAATATCATCTCTGGTTGGGTGATGGCTTTGAGAAATTTAAATTTCTAACAGTGACTCCAAGTCTTAGTTTCCAAAGTTTGGTTTCTTCAGTTTACATTTATAAGGGCCATAGGAACTATTTACAGAGAAGGGAAACAGTCTTTCACAGCATGCATAGGTCCTACACTGCTTCAGAGTCAGGTTAATGACCATCAGGTTTAACCCCTTCGGAAGGAGTCATCATGCGTTAGCATCCTACTTACCTCCATTATTACAGAGATGCAGAGTGCCCATAACCCCAGCATTCTGGGAGGTTGAGGCAGGAAGATATAAATTCTAGTCCAGCCTGGGAAAATTTGTAAGACTCTGTCTTGAAAGATAAATAAAAGAGGGGGCTGGGGATTTAGCTCAGTGGCATAAGCACCTGCCTTGCAAGCAGGCAGTTGTGAGTTCAATCCCCGGTACCGATAAAAAGGAAAAAGATAAATAAAGGGCTGAAGAAATAGCTCAGAGTGAAGGTCCAAGGTTGAAACCTCAGTACTGCCAAAAAAAAAAAAAAAAAAGGAAGGGGAAGAGGAGGAAGAGGAAGAAGAAAATAAAAGAAGAGGAGGAGCTAAAGGAGGAGAGGAAGATAATGACAGAAGACAAAAAAAACCCTTGGCTTCTCTGCTTCACAGCACAGTCCATTCCTGACACGTTAATGGCTGGTAGATGCACACATCCAGGGCTTCTCTCAGAGGCCAGCTGGAACCACCACAGAGGCAGTCAACACTCTCTGCCAGCTGATGCAAACACCTACCATGATATCCAAGGTCAAGTGTGGTATCCTCTAAGCTTGACTCAAGTTCACTGAGATCCAGGGAAGGGATAGGCTGATTCTCAGGCAGGTTCTCCGAAGCCGGTTCATCTAAGTCCTTGTAGAAGAGAATTAACAATTCATGAGAAGCTGAGAGAAGGTAACAGAACTACCACAATGAAAAAATGTTCTTATTTAGAAGACCATTTAGGAGTAAAAGCCTACCTAATCCTCTCCCTTAAACTGGGTAATTTGGGATAAGAGAAACATCCCCCAAGTAATGAGACAGGTGACATGAGCAAACCATTTACTCTCCATGGGCCCAAGGTTCAGGACCATGACTAGAGTCAACCAGGAGGTCTAAAATGCAAAACAGCCAGGCTCAGGCAAGTAAAGGTTCCATCTGCAGGGGGCGGGGGGCAACTATCCCCTTCCATTCTGCACCATATAGTGCATCTGCCCACCCTGTCCCAGCCCTACTAAGTTACCCCATCTCAAAAATCAAGTGTTGGCCCGGATGACTTCCAAGTTCTCTTCTAGCTTTAAAAGTTCTGAAATCCTATAAATTCCAATTTCCTAAAGGAAAAAAATTCTAAGACTCCACATGAGAGGAAAATAAACATTTCAAAAAATAAAAAGGTAAACTACTCAAATATGACAATGGGTATTTTCAATAGATCAATTTGCTTTTTTTTCTCTAGGGCAGTGGTGTGTGTGGGAAGAGGGGATTGCAACCTAGATCTGATGCATAATTCATATATTTCCTTTAACAAATGGCTCTCATGAGGAATTATCTGCAGAGGATATTCTGATTATAAAAGAAATTAAGAAGAAAGGCCAAGATAATCTTAAGTGAATAGGTAAAAAAAAGCCTGTCACATTATGGTGGCATTTGTGAGAGGACAGTCCTAGGGAGCTTTAAGAATTTCACTTCCTGTCCTGTATAATATGTGTTTCAGGAGGCACGATTGGTTTCCAGAGTTCAAAGAATCACTGACAACACACAGAGAACTTCAGAAACAAAGAGTAGACAGTGTGCAAAGTGTGTCCCTACATGTACTTTAGAATTTACTCAAAATAAATGCTTGTGCTTTTGGTTGGCTTTGATTTACTGAGCTTCTCTCTGGAGAATTTTTATAATTGCTTCTCCTAGGAAGAGAATGACTTGATCTGGTCTTTGGTCCCTATTACCACTCCACGTATGGAGCTCTGGTCTGCTATGGACTTTTCACAGAAACCCAACGTCAGCACCAGCACAACTGTATATGCCATAGAATCACATGCGGACAGGCCTGTCTTGTATATTATGGTATCTAGTTGTTTTTAAGCTGTCATCCTTTAAAGCAACAATGCCTGATACGATTCTACATCCAACTGTGCTTCAAGATTTCAAAGCCCAAATTCAGTCAAGCAGAAAATGCCTGCCAAAATAAAAGACACCAGGGTCTAGAAAACAAAGCAAGGCCATTGTCCTAAATGTTTCAAAGAATTGTTATGACATAGGAAGCCCATTTTCTCCCGTCTTTGATTCTCTCCAATTGCTTCTTAAATACAGCATAATGAGGCCTGCTTCAGCAAAGCAAGAGAAAGAAAGAAACAACTGAGAAAGACCCCTAATGAGATTAGGAACGAATTAGATCATAAATACGTGTAGAGGTGCGGGAAGGGAAAGTGCTCAAGAGTGGAGTATTGCTATCTCCCAATTTAATCACATTTTCCTTAACCTCTTGCATCTGATTAATGTAGCTTCTTTCTTACATTTTATTTTATCTTCTTTAGCTCAACAATGCCTTTTCCTAAGATTTTTAAAACACTTCAGTTCCCTCTATAGTGTTTGGCTTTGCATTTTCTTTCTCCTCTGCTCTGTGGATATCATTAAATCTGCCTCATTCTTGTGCCTGTGAATATGATTAAATTTGTCTGTTCCCCTCCTGGCTGCCTCCCTTCATCTTTCTCCTGGGGTGAACAAGAAAGTCTTCCCTGAGGTCTCACCATCTTTTCTTCTTTCAGATTAAATGCTTTATTTCCTAAAGAGATTATAAGAAGAACTGTTCATCAGTGGCTTTTCCGGGTCTTCTTTCATCTGGATATAAACTGCTGCTTTCTGGAGCCCTGCTCTGTCTGGAATTAAACCACGAAGGCCCTGTGCCAGCAGCATCAGAACCAGCAGAACTTTGTTAGAAATGTGATACCGCAGGCCTCACCCCAGACCAAATGAGTCCAAATCTGCATTTTAACAAGAGCTACAGGTGACTCAGGTACATGTGTAAGTCTGGGAAAGGACTGGAGGAAGGCTAGTTGACTGGGGACCTGAGAGGTCAGAGGCTTTCCTGAAGTGAGGCAGAAATGTGAAAGAAAGTAGGATGCTAACCGTAGGCCAGAGGGAAATAGCTGATGCCATAGTGTGAAAAGGAACAGGGAGCCCAGGGAGGCTGAACAACTATGCAGGCCTGAACCAGATGGGAAGAGGACACAGCCTTCAAGGAGAACAGACTGACGAGCCACAACTCCTCCAGGAGCATTTCCTGCCCCCAATGGCATATACTTGGGAAATGTGCTCTAAAAAGCTGAGTCAGAGGCTTTGGTAGCACTAAATCTTGTAAGATCAAAAGATCAACCAAGGTCTCTGGTCAGGACTGCACTGGACACTTGTCCACCTGCTCTCTTCCCTCCTTACTAAAAGAAAGGGGATGGAGCTGGGGAGGAGATAAGTCAAGAATTCATAGGATTTCTGGGAAATCTTGTCATGTGAGTTGAGCCAGTGCTAGGATGCTCTGGTTGCCTCTCACATCCTGTGGTATAACATATGGATGACAAAAGCTCTTGAGACTCTGCTTGGCACATGGTCTCAGGGTTCTCTTTAGTACTTTAGTACTTTAGGACTGCCAAAGGGCTCGATTCATAGGCAGACAGGACAGAACATCATTGAGTAGAACTATAACACTGACAACTATATCAGAAACAAAAAGAACCAAAAATTATCATCTTGAGTGGTCAAAGAGGAAAATCATAAGCACTAAGCCAATCATCAGCCACTAATAATTAAAATCATACTAGAAACTATATTTTTAGTTGCCATATGGTAACTTTAAAAAGAAGTCCTTTAGGTTTAATAACACAAAATTTGGCCATGTCTATAACACTCAATTTCCAATCTTAGGGAGAAAATCCTTAGAATTAGGGGTTCATGAATGCTCCAGGAAAAAAAAGCAACCCTGTTTCTATCACTTTTTGAACAAGTAATCTACACTGAATGAACACAGAATTCTTATGGCCCTACTAGCTTCACTGTCCAGATCTGCAGAAATGTGCAACTGTTAGTCTAATAGGAACAAAGCAGGCAGAATCAGAAATCAAAATGCCTCCACAGGTTAACCCTGCAGAACCCAGGAAGTGTTCAGGGAGAGGACAAAAGATACTGTTTTCAGAGGGACCCTGCCTCACTGCTGCTAATCCCAGCACCCTTTCAACAGTAAGGCCTCCACTCATCAGCTTCCCTGGCTGGAACTCTCTCATTTTCTCAAGCCTCTGAGTCCTGCAACAGATCCACAGCTGGCTTTTACTTCCCAGGGTGCCCAGTGGGTGAAAAGGGTTTGGATGTGACATCTATCACCATCATCCCCATGCCGGCTGCTAACTAGTCTGATAAACAGAGTGAAACTCATGAAAGGCAGAGGAGATTAAGCTCTCTGTCTGGTCCATCTTTGGATTTTAGAAGATTAAAGCACACAGAACCCTTATAAAATTGAGAAAGCTAGGCAGGTCTCCCCATCAGAGAGGGACAGAAAATAAGTGTCCAGGGATGAGTGGGCCCTACTGAGGGTTCCTGCATGTCCCAGGATTCTGAGCCTTCTGCTGACCCATCTACAGCAGATTAGTGTCCTTGGGCTTCCAGGGATTGTCCCACAGTGTCTATGAGGCAGATTCTTCCTACCAGACAAAACACTTTCGAACATGGGAATCTCCACTGAGTGAACAATCAGAGATGTCTCCAATCCAAGATGCTTTTACCAGAGTGCTATGAAGTCAGTGTTTATATCTACTGCCCAAAGATGACCCCCAAAAGACTATCATAAGTATCAGAGCCTATGCCACAGTTTATGGAGCCATTTCAGCCTTTAGTTAAAATGGTGTGCACTAGGCAGAGATTTGGAACACAGAGAACATGAATTTGGGGTCCATTTCAAGTGAGCCAGTAACCCTATTCATTATCGGATATCTAAGGTAATTCTTCAAAGTTTGAATGCAGCCATGAACATGGTGCACAGTGATATGAATGGAAGACAAAAGAAAAAGAAAATGTAAGATAGGAAGAAATCAGTGACCTAAAGAGATAAATATGGATAGCATTGGTAGAATTAAAAATTAGATATACTCATTCTGCTACTTAATCATTTAACTGAACAATATGCACTCAGCGCCAACTCAGTTATCTCAATACAGCGGCCACTCAGTGTCTGACCGAAGAATCAAGTGATCAACATCTGCCTTAAGGTCGTGTTGTCACCAATTTTGCCTACATTCTAGAACCCTCCTTGAAACTGGACAAGGTTGGTCTGGGTACTTTGGTTTTCTACTGTCCTTTTTCTTGCACTGCTGGTCCCATGATGCTGAAGAATCTGCAACAAGAACAGGTTTTGTGTAAGCTTTACAGTAAGTGGGTACTTACATGGAAAACATCAATACTCTGCTGCTGAAAGTTTCGAGATCTCAGTTCTTGCATCCGCTTATTATTTTCTTCATACTTTTCTTCCACAATCTTTCTGCAAGTTTAAAGTGAACGTAGAAAAATAATTTCAAATTGCTAAAATCATAGTTGTGTTACACATATAAGTGTGATCCTTGCTTCAGCAGGCAGACAAGAGTGTCAGGAATCCAGGCCACCAGGACTCCCCTGCATGGTGCTGCACTCCTCAGCACCCAGAGATTTTCTTTTAAAGCACACATAAGAATGCTTTGACTTCTTAGTTTTCCTTAGATATCCTCAAAGGAAGCAGAAGGAAAAATAAAACCCATCCCTGTGCATCCTGAGTGTGATGCTAGGGTATCCTAAATGTGCAGCACAGTGCTAACCACATGCTAATAATCAGAAAAATGCTTCCAGCAAAAACAAATTCATTAAAAAGGAAAACAGAGTTGCATATCAAAGAATTCATGAAAAATATATGGGAAACACTAGAGGAGAATTTTCTACACACACACACAAAAAAAAAATCTTTGCTCTGCTACAGCAGAGTTGAATTTAATAAGTGTGCTACTAAGCTGGAAGAAAGATTTAAGTTATTATTATTACTTGTGTACTAATTTACACTTAGTTTTTTTGATAATTCACCTAACATCTATTTAGTAAAATTCTCTTATCAATAAAATTGATTCATTATTACTCTTCTGACAATAGAGGCATTTTCCAGATATAATACACAACTGTTTTTGAATCTCAAGAATGATGGTAGAATACTAACCCAAATCATAAAATCAAGATTGTATTTTATGTAAAATATATTGCCTTTAAATGATATTGTGGTAATATAAAAAATAGTACTGTGTTGTGTGGAAGTTTTGTGGCTTTCATCCATAAAATTTGTAATATACATGTAAATTATTTGTAATGATTCATAATATACATGTAAATTATTAAATTTGCCTTTTTAATCTATCCCTATCAGATTTAATCTTCCTTTTACCCTCAGTCAATTATGTGAATCATGGTACTCTGGAGACATTAACATTTTTAAGTGTTAGAAATAGATTTGGGGCTGCGAGTTGCAATGGCTCAAGCAATTTGTGGGAATGTATTTCCCCGGTAAAAACTACTCAGTGTCATGCTGGTTTGCAGAAACCAGCTCCTGAGAGCAGTTTGTAGCTTCCCAGCTAAACGTGTCAGTAGTATGAGTCTGGCTGCTCCTGATGAGCTATTGGCACCATGAGAATTGGTAACCACATCAGCTACCTCTGAACCCTGAGCTGCTGGCTCAACATTTAGCAGCACATCAGTGCTCAGAGTGTACTTTGGTGCAAATCTGTTTCTATACTTACTGAGGGAAACGTGTTAAGGGGAAAATAGTCTCCTACATTCTTTGGTTCCTCACTATATTTGTTTTAATCCCAAGGATGCCTCTACAGGGCATTTCAGAATCTTAATACAGTCACAAAATGAATAGATTTGCTTCAGGTCTTTTCTGTCTCTAGAGGTCTTGCTTGGGACTTCCAAGCTACCAAAAAGTAGGCAGAGAAAGGAAAAAAACAACTGAAAAAGCAGTTTGAGAAATTCAGGTCTATTACTCTTTGAAATCCTAACTCTGTATGTGTATCTTTTTTCAGCTTTATTAAGGTTTAATCAACAAAATTGTTTATATTTGTAGTGCATGTATTTATATTTATGGCTTTGATACATGCATACAGTGTGAAGTGGTTAGCACAGGTTAATTAACATAGCCATATTTCACAAACATCATTTTCTGTGGTGAGAACATTTAGAACCTGCCAGCCTCGCCATTTTCACGTATAGAATATCTTACTATCAGTCACCACGATGTGCAATAGATCTCTGGATCTTATTCCTCCAGTCTGATCTCGCCTCATCTTCATCTTTTCCCCATCCCTGGTTCCTACCATTCTACTCCCACTTTCATGAGCTTATTTTTTTAGACTATATGCTAATATATAGTACTTGTCCTTCTTCCATGGCTGACTTCACTTAGCCTAATGTCTTCCAGGTTCATGCCTGTTGTTGAAACTGATGGTATTTCCTGTTTTTATAAGACTAAATCAAATTCCATTATGTGTACATACACTACATTTTCTTTGGCAGGCACTGAGGTTGACTCTAAATTTTGTGTGTAACACTGCAGTGAACACAGGAGTGTAGCTACCTTTTCAACACACTGGTTTAATTTCCTTAGGACATAAAGTAGGATTCCCAGATCATACGAACTCTGTTTTCAATTTTTTGAAGAAATTCCATACTGTTTTCCATAATGGCTGTATCAGTGTACATTTCCACTAACAGTGTACAAGGGTTTCCTTTCCTCCATATCCTGGGCATTGCTTAAAATTAAACTTTTTCATACAAATACTTAAATTATTCGTGATTCTTACCAGCAGCACTGCCATGAGCACAAACATTTTTTAAAGGCTTTGCTTGAAAGAACAGAGCTATTTTCAATTTACATCCCTCTACAAGGTAATGATTTCTTTCCAGAAAGCTGCCTTCTCCCTGTAGCTGGGTTTCCTGGCAGAAGCACCTGGGGAATAGGATTGGCATTCAAAAGCCTTCTTTTCAGCCTCTTGCTGGGTAGAGGTAGAAGGTGTCAGCAACACTGAAGTTGCATTTAGAGACTGACCCTGTAACTTACCAAATTTTCAATCTTTCTTTTCACACAAGACTGCGAGCCTGATAGAAATGTACTTGGCTCCCAATCTATGGCTCAATAATAATCTTTAGTGTGAACGAGTGAGCGAGGATATTAATACATAATTGTATGCATCCTGGGGTTTTTTTCTTGATTTTTTATTCTTTTCAGTGAATCCCTTAAGAGTCTACAAAGAGGTACAGGGCACAGAGCACCCAGTGAAAGGTAGCTTACTTCAGCTTCCCCGCTTCCTCATCCGCTGCCTGGAGCTTTCTCAGCCGCATCCTCTCTCTCGGAGTCATTTTCTGTACCTCAGACAGTGCTCGGAGAGTCTGTAGGTGGATCTTTTTCTGCCTATAAATAATAAAGATGCCCCACATGCAACCCATCCCAAACATACTAAAACATTAAACAAATTTTTTATAGACATATCATTACACTACTGAGAAACCAAAAGCATCTTGAGACAGGCCAGGCAAAAACTAATAAGCTCTGTGTAGGTAACGAGCCAACTAGGACTTGAAGTTAATCAGCAATATTTTTCAAATTAGATTTTTGTTTAAAAGCAAATTATGTGCTTTCCAGACTTCTGCTCATTTTATTGCCTATGACTGGTTTTCATAATGTAAGACAAATTAAGATCTTAGCCATTGGAGAGTAAATAGACTGGCGGAGTAATTCGACCAAGTGGATAGGGATATATTCACTGGAGTTAGACAGGGTTTGAATTCCACCTCCATCACTCTAGCTCTATACCTATAGGCAAGAAAATGAACCTCAGTTTTGTTATCTAAAGAATGGGCTACAGAATTGGGTGTGGTGACACAGGCTTGTAATCCCAGCACTTGGAGGCTTAGACAGGAAGATCATTGCAAATTTGAGGCCACCATGGGCTACAAAGTGAGTTCAAGGCCAGCTGAGCTACCTAGTAAGACCCTGTCTCAAAACAAAAACAAAAACAAAAAAAGAATGTGCTACAGTAAGTACAGTATTTAAGATAATATTTGTATGAGTCCATAAAAAATCCCCAAATCATAGTACTATAACAGCCAATTTTTACTTAATGACATATTCTAGGCTTAATCCAAAATAGATTTTATGGCAGAACAGTATAGTGGTTTATTGCACAAGTTCCTAACACTCACTGGATCTAAAGCGCAACTCAGAGGTTGTATTCTACATGCTGCTTTATCACTCTATAATTATTAAAAAATATACAGAGTATCTATTTCATAGGGGTGCTCTATATTTAAATGAGTAAATTCATGCAAAGTAATTTTAAAAGTCAAGTGTATGGTAATCCTCCCACCCAGTGTTAGCCATTATTTCAGGAGCTGTTCATTCAGATAAAGAAGCAGGTTCACACTGATCTGGCATGAAAGACCTACATTCAAGTCCTCAATGAGTAGCTTCTGCTTCTAACTCGGTTACAGCCCATCACTGGAGAACGCTTTTTGCACTCCTTGTCTTTCTTAAGAAACAACATGAGAAACTTATAATGGCTGCTCTAGGCAGCTGTTATCCTCTGGAGTATCACCCAGACCAGAGCTCGAAGGGATGTGCAATTTTTCAGGAATACATACCCATTATTTTGTAAGATCAAATAGATTTCCTTAAAACTGACCCATAGAGATTGGAAATAAGAGGGACAAACTGAAATGAATATTTCATCAAATGAAGTACGCACCTAACAACTGGATTCTAGCACACCATTGACTGTAGACAGAGTCAGGCAATGGTTTCACAATTGAAGTACAAAATCATAGTTAAAATTAGCTCCGTGTTGTAGAGATGTTATCTACTTTCACATTTCTGATAAACAAATAAAATTAGAAGTTCCAGCTTTTCTGGAAATAATAAATGGTGACTCAAGAAAACAAGGTTGTTGTGAACATATCTAAAAGTTTAACTCCCCGCTACCAGATGCCGTGTACTTTAACAGGAGATCATGCAGTCGGATGGTGTCTTTGATGGGCCTGTTTCCTTTGTGTGAATGTGAATATGGAAACAAACATGCTGCGGTCAGGAAACAGCTGGCTGAGTGTCAGAGGAGTCTATCTGGCTATTTGGCCTTGAAAGTCAGTCTATTGAAGGCCCCCATTCCGTTGCACGCCTCTAGAAAGGAACTGCCATTCCCTTTGGAGCCTTATGAGATTAGATAGAGCTCTTTCAACAAACTTATACACTTAGTCTTTAAAATAAATATCCCTGGAGTTGTGCAGTGCACAACAATTGTACACAGAAGTTTCTGTGTTGCCTCATATTCTGGGCTATTGGAAGTTGCAGCACAAAAATTTCAAATGAGGAGAAAGAAAAGTTAGACCATGAATTCATGACAGCTTTTTGGGAAGAACATTTCCTGTGGTTCTTATGTATATGTATGTTTCAAGGAATTAATTTGGTGTATTTTCAGTTGTTCCAGGATGAAAATATTCTCCTTAAGCAAGATATTCTTTCAGGTCACATTAAACAAACAACATAGGAAAGCCATTCATGCTTATTATCATGGAGAGCTCATTAGCATAAGTATTACCAAATTGTACTGTTTGAGGTATTAATTTCTCTGTGCACCTAGGAGGCAACTGCAGAGTCATCCTGCAGCGCTGCAAGTGCGTGGTGGTTTAAACTTTTCTAATTGTAATTTGCTACCACCTGGGGCAATGGCTTAGGAACCTCACATTTGTGAAGTGCCTTCCTTTCTTGGCAACACTTCAGTGAATTGTAGGAAGCGCCATGTAGACAGCTTAGCCCTAACAGATTTTTAGAGGCAAATGCATTCAATGTTTACACCAGGTGGACCTTTTATAAACAAAGCAATTATTTACATGGCATTAATTATATGAGCAGCTTCCTTCTGACAATCCAAATTCTTGTCTTCCAGAGTCATTTCCGAATATTTATGCATCAGGTGCTGGGGAGAAAAAAAAGAGCAGCAAACTTTAAAGGTCCCTCTTCAGCAACATGGACAAAAGGACCATGAGCCTGTTCTGATTCAGAGCGTAACTGACTATGGGAGGGAGATAGAAAACAAAGCCCATGGTAACTACTCTTCAAAAAGCTCTTCAAAAAGCTCACATAAAATTTCAGGGGAGTTCATGGGAGATCTTGCAGGGTCCTCCTGTTGCCTGCCACCTCGCCTGCCTGCCATGTCACCCTGTTCCCCACTACGGGTGGGTATCCTCCAAATCCGACACATACAAGCCTTTCCCTCCTCGGCCTGCGAAGGACAAGATCCACGCTCCTCAGGCCAGGACAAGGATAAGGCAAAGGGAAAACCACCTTGGGTAGAGAAGGCCACCAAAGACTCAGCCTCCAAGATCAATAACGCTTCAATATAATACCATGTTAAAAGTAAAAACTAATGCCCCAAAGCCATAAAGAATACAGTATCAAAGGTTTACATAGAGATCCAACTGCGTACTTACACAGCTCTACCTTGTTTATTTCGCCCTAATCCTGGCCCCTGCTGGATCTTTTGTTGCCAGGGATTGTTAAGATTAATTTGGACTTTTAAGTTAGTGCCTTAAAATATTATTTATCTTGATTATGAGTTTTTGGTGTTACTTAAGCTTTCCCCAGGGCAAATGATTCCCACCCGTCTCAACCCATTCTTGGAAGATTCACTGGGACTCCCTCCTCTTGGCCCTTTTTTTTTTTCTTTTTGAATTTGGCCTTCTGTGCACTCATGGCTGTGTCAGGGTATGTTTGATCCCAGCATCTAGCACCGCGTCTCTTTCGCAGAAGACAGGCTGCAGGGGCCTGAAGGGCAAGCTGCGAGGAACCCAGGACCTTCAGCTGGCCTCTCCATCTTCTCCTGCTTTTCCAGGTCCTGGGAGCAGATGCTTGCATAGGAACATTCCCTTCTCTGTCTGCCTCCAGGGAACACCAAGTAACCCAGGGCCTTTGTGCCCGTCACCCTGATTTGTGACTCAGTTTCTTAGGTACTCTGGTTGCTTTTTGCAGGCTCAGTTGATGTTGAAATGACACCTTTTCCTTCTCTAACTCCCTCCCACCTCTGTTTGTTTGTTTCTTCTTTTCCTTTCTACAATGTCCTGCTTATTTTCTCTCTAGTGTTTGAGATCTGTTTGTTTCCTTATCTTCTCTTCTTAACAGGTTCTTTTATTAGCAGTTGAACATAGGAAGAATAGGAACCTGCCTGTCCAGTTCATTCTGATCTCCCCAGTCTTAACACAGAGCTCAGTGCTCAAGAGGGAACTCACATCACCATCATCTGCTTCTTGTGCATTTACTACTTGGCTCCTAGTGAAAGGCATATGCACTTTAGAAGGTAGATGACTGCTCTGGGGTTCCTATTAAAATGACTATAAAAGTTATTAAAGCTTCCTATTCCTCTGAACTTTCTATTAAAATCAGAGGAAAGTTTGCTAGGTGTTGTAAGGCAAGGCAGTCCCAATACTCTAGGAGGTTGAGGCAAATTCAAAGTTAATCTGGATAACTGAGTGAGACCCTGGTTTGTTTTGTTTGTTTGGTGCTGAGAGCTGAACTCACAGCCTTGTGCTTGCCAGGCAGGTACAGTGCTGCTGAGCTATATCCCCAGCCACTGTCTCAAAAAAAAAAAAAAAAAGTTTTAAAAAAGGACTGAGGATGCAGTTCAGGCACCGGATTCAATCACAGAACCAAAAATTAAATAAAAATAAAAATAATCAGAGGAAACTTTCCAGAAGGATTAGTATTACAAAACTCTGGGAAGTTAAAAAAAGCAAAAAGCTCCCAGAGAGGAATCATTTGTCTTTTCTTAGCACCTGAGGCAGATTCTCTGTATTAAATTTTCAAATCCACAGGAAAACAAAATGAAGTCATTTAATCAATAAAACATTAAGTATTGAATTATATAATAAGGAAGTAGAATAATAAATGCTTGGTGAGAATCCCAGATTGCAGTGTTACTATTAGCACATTCTTATTCTAGTGGGGTTACATTTCTAACACGTTCTGCCCACCTAAATGCCATAAGGTGGATGCTGAATTTAGGGGAGAGACAGAGTCCTGAGGTCCTATTCTTGGCGGCACTAGGGAGGCAGAATTCTCGTACTGTCTTCTGCAGAGACTGTTCTGACTAACACTTCTCTCAGCTTTTTAATCTTGCTCCTCTTTTATTTCCAATTCCTAATACATCTTGTTGCCACAGAGTATCCTCAAGTTATAAAATATGAAGAGAAATGCTAATGCCTCTTCCCCAGTATTCTTTTCATTTTAAATACCTGCAGTTTGTCGTCAATGTAAGGGATTTTTAAAATTTCTATAGCAGATGGTCTCAACGAAGGACTCTTGTTCAGCATGCTGTAATATTCGAAAAGAAAATTATTTTTCAAATGAACTAAAACATAATTTCACTTAAAAGCAATAACACAATTTAAAAATTGTTTCTGGGATAACAGGTTTATTTTCAAACCTTTGCATGATACCGTTGAGCTCTCTTGGATGGTTCTCAGGGAGTGTAGGTGTAGCCCCTCCGACGATATTTAAAACAATGGCCAAGAAAGTGGAGCCAGTGAATGCATGATTCATACAACACATCTCATATAAAATGCATGCCAAAGACCTAAAGATAAAACCAAAGAATTCAGTTTAAATTAGGAACAAATGTAAGATTTTAAATTTGCTCATCATACGAAATCTCAGAAATATGAGGGCACTGGCTGTGAGGCACTAATAGACATTTTAGTTGTTTGTTCAAAAGTTGCAGCTCCATATGGTGGTTTCCCCCCACTTATTAGAGCAAACAATAATTTCATAAAGTGAAAGGATAAAGCACAAAGGTAAATATGAATGTTTGCTTTTTTCCGAAGAGGAAAAAATCAAACCAATAGTTAGCAAGATGCCAGCATATCATAAAAATTCTAAAAATCTGCTCAATGTAGTAGTAAGAAGTTTTTGAATTAGTGTTTATGCAAGAAAAATAAAATGCAGCTAAATATTACCTTTCTAAGGCATTTTAATGCTGTGTATGCAAAAGTTCAATTTTAATTTATCATCCTAACCTGTGCTTTGTATCTATGCATTTTTTTTTTGTCTTTTTAATTTTTATCGGTACCAGGGATCGAACTCACGACCACCTGCTTGCAAGGCAGGTGCTTATGACGCTGAGCTAAATCTCCAGCCCCTGTACCTATGCATTTTTGAAAAGGAAACTGGCATTTTTTACTAGTTTTCTTAATATAATCCATTTGCAAGTAGGATGGGAGAGCAGTTACTTTCAGCTCACATTAAAATGGATAATTCTCCCTTGGGGAGGGTGAAACAGAACATTAAAAATCTAGATAAATCCAATGCTGATTTGGATTGACCAGCCAATCAGTCACCACTGTACCAGCAGAAAAGCCTTTTCAATTGCTCTGCCTTACAAAGAAAACTAAAGTGTAAATGCCTCCCTGAATCTAGTATTAAGACTGCACTTTTCCTAAATGATAGATTGCTTTTAATCTGATAGACATTGAGAATTATGTAACTGGCCAGGTTTTGCTCTTAGTTGCTTTAAAGATTAGAAGTAATTTTTTGTTTGTTTGTTTGCTTGGTACCAGGGATCAAGCTCACAACCTTGTACTTGCCAAGCAGGCAGTTGTGTTGCTGAGCTAAATCCCCTGCAAGATTAGAAATAAATTTATGGAACTTTTAACAGTACACAGAAGGGTATAAATAAAAAAGAAAAGAAAAAGAAAAAGAAACTACATACAAGGATACTATAATTTCTTTTGCAGTTGTGAATGAAAATGTATGTGCACCAGAGAATTCTGGATATGTACAATGAGAATGTTTCCACTCCAGTAAATAATAACAATAAAAAATTTTATGTGAATGGCACTTTACATTTTTTAAACATTTTCATACATATCTCAAAAGAAACTCTTAACTTCCCAGTGAACTGGAGTCAACATCATGATTTTCCCATTTTATAGATAAGTAAACTGGCTCAGAGTACTTAAATTATTTGGCCAAGGTCACACAGGGAGTGCTGTACACTAGCAAAAAGAGCTTCGTTATGTGTTATGTTAAATTATATGACCAAAGTACCTGTAATGCCCGCCATACTCTTCTGTATGCGTCATTTTTCTGGGTGACCTAACTGATATGTTACTCAATGCTCCCCTCTGTAAAGAACTGTAAATCCCTGAGAATCTGACCTAACTGATATTTTAACCATTGCTGCCCTCTGCAAACAACAGATGTTATCTAAAATTGAGTGCTAAAATAAGTTGACAAAGGATTGTTAATTCCTGTGAGACTGCTCTGTTCTCTGCAAAGGGAAACAAAGGTCTTCCTCGTTTCTTAGCAGATCAAGGATCTTTCATTTCCTGATCCACGCCCATAAACCCTTACTTTGTAAACTGTGCTTTCTACAAAAAGTCTGAAAAGTTTTGAGGGAGACACACAGCTTTTGCAAACTCCAACTGCACTGTGTCACTGGGCCCAGGATAAACTAAATCAGCGCTGCTTTTTTAAAAAAACATGTATTGCCCCATTTTTGGACTCAAGATTGTGGGGATAGGGGCTCGTTTTTGGACTACAAGAGGAGTAAATGGTAGACCTGACTCTACCATTGGGACATTCTTCTTTCCAGATCACATGAGATTTTAATAAGAATGAAATAGATTTTCAGAAGAAATCATGTGGCATTAACTACAACACAAGGTCAACATAAACATTATCAATTATTAAAAATATTTGAAGTTCAGTAAGGTTTGCATATGTCTATAAAACTATTATATCTGATGCAGCCACATGTTACTTAGGTTTTATTCCCAGGAAAAAAATTCCTTTGAATAAGACAAATTATTAACATTTTTAGACAACAGCATTTAGTGTGAAAACACACAAAAAAAACATGATCAGGAGTTCTAATAAATAAAAATGATCCCAGGTACAAACAAGGAAAACAAAAAATAAATAGTCCCAAGATGAATAATTCTGTGAATGTGAATGTGTCAAAATAGATATCAACTCTATAAAATAATATTAAAAAATTTTGTGGAGTTTAAAATTGTGTAGAATAAAATGTATGATAATAATACAAAAAATAGTTAAAAGTATTTAAAATCCTTGTAGTACTGAAAAAGTAGTTAAAATAATTTTTACCATATACTAATAAATTCAGGGAGCATGTTTCTACGGTTTCATCAAAAGAAAAGTAAAACAGTGTACAACTGACTATAACAAGTTACTAGAGGAAAAATCAAATTAGATTTAAATCAAAAAAGGAAGAAAAACAAAAAACGAACCTAGAATGAGTGGGATATATAGAAAGCAAGTAAGACAATGAAAAAAGCATAAATATAATTTCATGAAATATAAAGGAGAAATACTCCAATTAAAAGACTATCAGTCCACATACCACCCTTAAATACAAGAATACAAGAAAGTGGATATAAAAAGATACATTATACAAACATTTCCCGAACTACTGCTAGTGTAGTTACACTCATATTAGACAAAGTAGATTTTAAGGCAAGAATCACTTCTGAGATTAAAATGATGGATTTCATAAAGAAATAATTATCAGAAACATATAATGATTTTTAATCTGAATATATCAAATAACATTGTATGTGTGTATGAAGTAAAACTGACAAAATTTAAAAAAAATAGATCATCAATCACAGTGATCCATAATCATACCTCTTTCAATAGGTGACAGAACAAGTGGGCAAAAAATCAGCAAGTATGAGAAAATCTATATAATTACCAAAACTGACAAATTGGTATAAATGTTTCAAATAATGGAAAAATGAAAATTATTTTCAAAGACACATAGAACATTTATCAAAACTGACCATACATGGGGTCATACAACAAGCCTCAATATGTTTGCAGATCAAAATCTTCAGAGCATATTTTCTGACCACTCTGAACCTAAACTAGACATGAGACAGAGAGCTGCTCAGAGAGAAAAAGAAAATGAAGGAATAAAAAAAAAAAACTACAAACTTTCAACTACTTGGAAATGAAGGGATACACATCTAAGTCATCTTTAAGTTAAACAAAAATAATTATAATTTGTATGGTGGAGGATGAGGTACTGGGGAATGAACCCAGGACTTTTGCTTTGAGTTACAGCCCCAGAATTTTTTATTTTTTATTTGGAGACATAGTCTTATGGTACTACATACCTACTGCACCAGTTTTTTGGGAGGCTGAGGCAGGAGAATTGCAGATTTGAAGGCAACCTAGAAAGTATATTTAACTGAAAGCTAATTAATGTACAAAATATCAACACTTATTGACCATAGATGATGTAAGTACATATAATGAAACAGAAAATATTAAATGCATATATTAACAGAGAAAAAAGTAAAATCTGTGATGAAAGTGAACTTAATCTAGAAATAATAACAAATTGCACTAAAGAAAGTTTAAATAAATTAATTAATGAAATAAAAACATAATAAAAATAGAGTCAGTAAAGACTTGGAAAATTTAATAGATCTCTAGCAAGACATCAAGAAAATGAGAAGGAAAACAATAATAATGGAAATAGAAAAAGGCATGTCACTATAGACTTCACAGATATTAGAAAGTATTAGGATAGCATTATGAACATGTTTTCCTTCAATAAATTTGACAATTTGGGTGCAATGAGTATTATTTGAAAGATATAATTTACCAAACTGACACAGGAAGAAATAGAAACATTAAATGGTCCCATACCTATAAACAGAGACCAGCCATATTGTAGAATCATTATATGTTTCTGATAATTATTTCTTTATGAAATCCATCATTTTAATCTCAAAAGGGATTCTTGCCTTAAAATCTACTTTGTCTAATATGAGTGTAACTACACTGGCAATAACTATTACCCACCCACCCCCCACCCCCCGCAATATGGTAGGTGCTTATACTGATGAGCCAAATCCCTAGCCCAAGACCAGCCACTATTTAAAATTATAAAATTGAAAAGTTTTTCCCAAAAATCTTGAAGTAGGTGGCTTTACAAGCAAATTCTTCCAAACACTTAAGAAATAAATTCAACCCATCTTATAAAATCTCATTTCATAAACCAGAAAAACATTAATAATAAAATATAATAAATACCATACAGGAGAGAAAAATTAGAGGTAAATTTTGTCATGAATATAAATTTAAAATGTCAAAACACAAGTACATATTAGAATATAGAATATGGTGACATAAAAGATACTATATCATGACCAAGTGAATTTTATTTCAGGAACATAGGGTTAACTTAACATTAGGAAATCAATTAATAAAATATACCTCATTGGAGGGAAAAAGAGAGAAATAGTTCATCATTTTCCTAGATGTGGAGAAAAGCCTTTCATAATGTTATAGATCTAATGCAATAACAATCAAACTCCCAGTATACTTTTTAAAAGGAACTGACATACTATTTCTAAATTTACATGGAAATGCTACCAAAAGTTCAATTCTATTATAAAATTATATTACTTATGAAGTATGGTATTACACAAAACAAAAACCCAGAACAAACTATAACTGTTCTTGAAAACAAAATCACACAAATTCAAAACACTTGATTAATGCAAAGATAAACTCTACTGCAAAGTGGTGGAAACATGGTCTTTT